CCCCGGCCGGGGAGAGGCAGCCCTGCCTCTGCAGCCGGTTTTGTGCCCCAAAAGCGGGGCTGTTCTGCTGGCGGCCCCGAGCGCCTTCCAGAGCGCTCTCCCGCCTTTCTCACCTCACGCAGCGCCTCGGGAACGGGCAGCGCGGGGTGCGCCAGCCCTCTAGATTCTGACTAAAAAGTAACCAAGTGCACTTTCGAATTTCTTATTTTTGGTGCCGCCTGGTTCTCCCCTAACGCCTCTGTGATCACCAAGAGTTACTATTTAACGCACGCAGCCTGCTCCCATAGGTTATTTACCTCTGTACTCTTGCAGGGGAACTACTGTGTATCTCTTACTCTGTCTGTAACCTCTCCTTGTTTCTTTCCTGATATTCCGCGGTTACAGCGCATCTGGAAGAGCTCCGCGTAGCCAAGAAACACAAAAGACTCGAGTTTTCTGTTAAATGTTTATGAAGTTCAAGAACCTTTCCCTTAAGAACAATTAACACCTTTCCAAATTGCTAGAAAATCCTCAGCTAAAACAATTTTCTGTAACAGAAGACTAAGTACTGAAGAATATTTTCAGTTGCTTTTAAAAGGGGTTACTGACTGTATGGTAATTCACCTGACTGATACTTTTGTCAAGAAAGCAGATTTAATCAAATCCTAATTGCCCAAAGGGCAAGCCCAGTCATACAGACACTCACTCTGCAACGCCAGAGTCTGCAGAAAAACCTCAGTAGCTTTTCCACTTTCCCCAGCAGTTCTCACTTTTCCCTGCGTCTTGCTGACTTGGAAGTCTTCTCCTGTGATCAGCTTCAGAACAACTGAAATCCCACAAGAGAGGGAAGGAAATTTTTTTCTTGAATCTACGCCACCGTTCTCATGCAGTCTTCTGTCTGCATGCCCGAATCTGAAAGAGGAATGGCGCTTTTTGCATTCTTGCAGGAGCACCTGTAAGCACTAAAATGTGAATTGCAATCCATTTAGAAATGTGTTCACTTAGCTAAACAGCTGCAGTGCCTGCAGATATTACTGCATTTCAGACAAGCGTTGGTGCTTTCACGCCAGAACTGAGGGTTCTTCCCAGCTGCTTCAGTACAAATTCAACTGGGTTTGTGGGGTTTTTTTGTTTTGATGGGGTTGGTTGTTTTTCCAAACTCCCGTGGCCTTTTAAGGGTGCAGTTGAGCAATCGGATGCCTTGCTGATACAAGAGGCAGCGCTCTTTTTCCCAATATTCCCTGCCCCGAAGTGTTTCCTGCTGCCCGCTCTGGTGCTTATCTACACGCCTGGTAAAGCAGTCAGAATCCCTAAACCACCAAGAAACCGCTCCTGTTTCTGGTATGTTAGTTTTCAGCTAGAAAATAAGCTGCATTGGCTCACCCTGGAGCCCGACAAGGGAGCCAGCATGCGAGATGGGCGTGAGTGAGCGTTGCCAGTAGAGGGGAGGAACAAGACAATCCTCTCTTGGCAGCAGTAACTTTTTGGCAACAGCATTAAACCCGTCAAACTATATTGTCTAACCACACCCTACACCAGGATTTGCCTTGAATTCACTGAGGAGGACTTAAATATTATGTTCTGCCATCTTGTCTAAGAAGCAATAATGTCTAATGATGGGATGATAACAAAGAGCAACTGTTGTTAATGGTGTGATGTTTCGGGTAATGGTTGCTGCAGTTTCATTAGCAGCAGATAAGATACTCCCGAGGCTCTTGCCCCACCTCTACATGCCCCCTGCTTTTCCCTGGATTGAATCCAGCCATTGTGTACCTACAGGGTAGTTTGGCACAGCTAACCTTCCAGAGGAAAATTAACAACACGCAAAGAAAAAAGCAGTCCATGTGTAGTAAGGACTGAGATCAAGCAGGTTTACCAAGACCTCCGCCCAAGAGAATTTACATTTAAACCTGGAGAAACCTGCTTCATTTGACACTGCCTGGCTGGGGCTCTATACCCACTCTGTTGCCCCCACAGTTCAAAATCTCTTTTTCATCCACCCATGCTGTCCTGCAGCCCCTTCCCCATGGTATCCCAGAGCAGCTGTTCAATAATTCCTAAGTAGAAAGGAACATGCCCCTTCCTAGCAGCACCACATTGCTTTCTCCAATACGTTTTCACTTCCAGTCAGCCTCCCTTGCTCCTCATATGCCCTACCCAAACTATGTCACATTCCTACGTCTCATGGCTGCAGTTTCTTCTGTGCTACAGCATCTATCTTGTACCAGTAACCGGTAGCTGCATTTATCATGGGCAGCCTTGAGTATTACTCATTTATAGGGCAGTAATACCTTCTCTGGCCTCATCAATGGTGGTAGTAAAAAAAAACCCCAAACAACCCCCAAACAACCAGCTATTCTAAGGGCAAATGGTGTTGACAGCTTTTCAGCACA